AGAATCCCAAAGGTATCTAAAAAAATTTGAATCTTTTTGAATTTCATGCAATGGAACAATAGACAAAATATCTTCTTTTGAATCTAATCCATTCCAAGTTAAATTCACATTAAATAAATATTGTTTTATATCTTGTACATCATCTAATCTCCATTTACATATCACATATCTAAATGCAAATATTATATCTTATTGATCAATATGTTACTTAAAATATTTTRTTTAAAATTACCTTTCAGAATTTGCAGGGCGACTAGTGACTGGTTTGTAAATACTAATTTGTTTAAAACTCTGGTATAAAAGGAACAATAAACCAGCACTAAATTCAGTGAATATATCAAAAAGTTTACACATAAAATGTCCACCTGGTTGAAGAATACTTAAAGCAGCTAAAGCTTGACATAAATACAATCGTTTAGATAAAATTTCTTGAAAACTTTCTTGACCATCAACAGAGAACCCCTAATAAACAGATGTAAATAAAATTTGCATAAATATATTTTTAGCTTTTATATTACTTACACCATCAGCCATAACAAAATGCACACCATTTCCTTCAGTCATCTTCATTACATACCTTTCTAATGACAGAATATTTTTAGGTTTATATATATCACCATCTTCATCATGACCTGAATAAAACAATGTATAATTTTGATTTTAAAACCTAATTTATAATAAAATATCTAAAATTAATGCAAAACACTTTTGCATCCATTAAGTGTAATTTTTTTTTTGAAAATTAAAAACTAAATATTCACATCTCTGTCCATTTATGAAAATTAAATTTGGTATTTATAATACAATATATRTAATCATATTTTTAACATCTAAGGATATGACATATTATTCAGTATAATGATATAGGTATTCATATCAAAAGAAATATAATAAATCTATAGTTTTTAACTATTTATTATTTATTATTTATTATTTGTATATACTTAAAAGTTAAGTATTAATAATTATTATAGTTAACATGAAATAAAAATATATCAAAATTAAAATTTTCTATAAATTCTTTTAAATGTATGTAAAATAATGCATTTGAAAGTTAAGTCAAATCACATCAAACTTTTTTTTTATTATTTATTTATGTATTGTATAGTTATGCTTACCATAAAATGCTTCAAATGACTCAGGAGAACCAGCATAAAAGTCATTCAATTTGAAATCGTTAGCATTACGTAGTGTAAATCCTACACCTTTTGCTTTCCAACTTTTTCGCCATAAGACATATTCGGAAAAACCTCCAGGTCCAGCACA